AATGGGACTTTTGAAGAAACAAATTCAAGAGATGGAAAAAGAGATGAGGACCTCTAGATCTCGATTTTTGGAGCAACAAGAGCTCCTAGCAGAAATGTCCCGGGAAATGGACAATTTGTTGAGGGAAAAGCTGAAAACGCAGGCAAATTTTCAAGATTTGGAGAAAAAGTACAAAAAAGCGAAATTCGCATCAAGGGAGCTGGCGAAAATCCTGGAAAACGACCTGTGCGGCACACCTACCACAAGCCACGCCCCTTTTGATTATCGATCGGACGAGGAGGCATCGATTTCGCTATTCGAGCAGTCTAGAAATCGATCGAAGCTCCAAAAAGAGCAAGCCGCAGCGCTCAGGTCAAAATTCTAAATTGAGCTACGCTAGTCGCGTTTGGGCTCATTTTGAAGCTCTAAACGCCAGAAACTTGGAAATCAAAGTTTCACTGAAAAATACCCGAATTTTCCAGAATTATGACAATTTAAAGTTTTTAAATTTTTTTTGGGTCTTACCACGAAAACCTAAATTTTGAAAATGGACCAAACCTTGTCGTGTTTGGGCTCATTTTGAAGCTCTCAACATCACAAATTCAATGAAACCTTTCAAAAGTCGCCTACCTAGCTGAATAATCACCGCGGCTGGCACATTGCTAAGATCATCGCCAGCCATTGCTACCGTATCACTGATCGTATGGGTTCGATTATGGTGTCGATGGATGAATCCATTTTCATTTGACGACGGCGGCGGTGGCGGTGAATTGTCTTCTAAAGACGTTCCACCTGACGTTGTCGTCGTCGTCTGGGCTGATGACGTGGCGAACGGCAGCTGCAAAATGTTTTAGATTTTTTTGCAAAATTTTTTTCAAAAAAAATTATTAAATTTTAAAATTGGCTAAAATTACGAAAAATCGAAATTTTAGTATTCCAAAGCCCGAAAAAAGAGTCCAAAAGGCAGGATTCTGGTTGCTATGGGAAACCAGGAGGGCCGATAGAGTGAGAGACGCAGAGAAAAAGAGAGAAAAAGAAAAAGAGACGCAGAGAACATCTCAAAACTCATTATAGAAGAAAAACCCGAAATTTGCAAAAAATCGCGAAAATTCCAAAAATTCCAAAAAATTTCGAAAAAAAACTTTTTTTTTCAAAAATATTTGAAAACATGATTTCTAGGTAAAAAATCCTTGAAAAAAGCATTTCAAACATTTTCTAAACGCGAAAATCCCATTTTTCTAGTGTTTCTGAGCGGTTTTCCAAAAAATGCACGAATGGCGCAGTGGGATTTTCAGGAAACTCCACTACCAATCTAACGACCCGAGTTCGATTCCACTCGGTGGCAAATTTTTTTTGCCGATTTTTTAGATTATTTTCCGACTGTTTTAAAGCTGAAAATGGTCGGTTTTTGAGATTTTCGGAAAAATCTGAAAAAATTTTTTTTTCGAAAATTTTTAAAATTGTAATTGATAGCTAATTAAAGCTAATTATAGGTTTTCGAGTATGAAATTTCTGAATTTCGAGCTCAAATTCTGTTTTAGAAGCGTTGAAAACCTCAAAAAGCTCAAAAAATGGAACTTTTTACATTTTTCAAGTTTCAGTAATTTTAGGCCAATTAAGACAAATTAAGACCAATTTATAGGTTTTTCGACTTCAAAATTTTGATTTTTGGGTCGAAAATATGGTCAAAAAGCTAAAAAACGCATCAAAACATCGCTAAAATTCATGGAATTCGAGATACAGCGAAAGAAATGGAGAAAGAGAGACGCAGGGAAAGAAAAAAAGAGGAAAAGTCGAAAAAGGAGAAGAAGGAGAAGAAGAAGAAGGAATCCAAAAGTAAACACTTTTTTGCTCTTTTTTTGAGCAAAAAAAAAAGCGAAAAAGAAGAGGAAGAAGACAGAGTAGATAGATTGATGAATATGTTCGACGATGTCTTTTTTTCCAAAAAAATCCCCAAAAATATTTTTTTTCGGATTATATATTTTTTGAAATTCCGGTAATTTCTATCAATTTCCTAAAATTTTTATACTATCAATCTGAAAAAATTGCTCAAAAACACCCAAATAAAGTCCCAAAAGTGTTCCGAAAATCCAAAAAAAAATGTTTTTTTTTTCAAAATTTTCAGATTACTGTAATTTTCGTTCCAGACTGAAAATTTGTCTGAAAATTGCAGACTATACTAAACAAGTATAGAGCTTTAATTTTGTAGTTGATACTTATCTCCTAGCTACCGTAGTTTTTGAGTTATGAAAGTTTTAAAGTTTATAGACGGCTTTGTGGCGTCAGGAGCCGCCAGGAGCCTCAATCACCTTTAAAGGCGCATAACTCCAAAACTACGGTAGGTACTGGAAAATTGTCGACTACAAAAATGAACCTCAAAACTCGAGCTTCAATTATGTAGTTGACACTTTTCCCTAGCTACTGTAGTTTTCGAGTTATACGCCTTTAAAGTAAGATGCGTCCTTGGGCACTGTGAGCGGCGGTGGACAGGCGCTGAAGGGAGCTTCTAGCAACTTCAAAGGCGCATATTCTTTATTCAAAATAATCGCGCGGGTGAACGAGTAAAAACCCCTGCGTCTCTACAGCGCCTCTACAGGTTTGGACACTCTCTACACGTTTTTTTACTCGTTCACCAGCGCGATAATTTTGAACAGACAATAACTCGAAAACTACGGTAGCTATCAAAAAAGTGTCAATTACAAAAATGAAGCTCTCGTCGTCTTCAGTATAGTCTGAAAGTTTCAGCCAAAAATTTGAAAAAAAAATTTTTAATGCTCAAAAATTTTTTGAGCACTAAAAAAGTCCAAAAAAGAGCAAAAAGAGCACATTTTGTGTGTGCTCCACTTCATGAAGATAATAAAATCTGATGATGTTGTAGTAATAGTGAAACAAAAAAGAAAAAAAAAATTTTTTTCTTTTTTCTCATAGTGAAGTGCTCCGTTTGGAGCTCCGCTAGGAGCTCCATCCGAGCACAAAATTAATTAGTTGAGCGAAAAAGAAGAGAAAAAACAGAGTGTGTGTGCTCACGGAGCATGAGATGATGTGGTGGGAAAAATGAGCTGAGCACAGGCGGTGTGCTCTTTTTTATGGGAAAAATGGAAACTGGGATTTCTGAAAATTGTCCCCAAAAAGTTTCAAAAAGACACTTAAATTTTTTTGACCTCAATTTTTTTGATGTTTGAACCAATTTCTAGCGCTCCAAACGGCCTGAAAATAGTCTAGAACAATTTTTCAAAAAATTTGCCACCGAGGGGAATCGAACCCGGGTCGTCAGATTGGTAAATTTGGGACCCACTGAGCCAAATGTGCTATTTTTCGAAAATGAGCGGAAAGTTGATTTTTAGAGTGTCTAGGGGTCTAGAAATGCTAAATCAACTTTTTCCAGTCGAAAATACAGTTTCGGTGGGTTGCTTACTAGAAACATCGGAAAACGGTGGTATTTTCCGGAATCTCACTCATTTTCAGCCTGAAACGTTGGTTTTTAGCGTTTTTCAACCCAAACATACGCTTTAAAACCCTCTAAAACCCCCTGGAAACCCTAAAAATCAATTATTTGCCTATTTTCGAAAAAATGCACATTTGGCTCAGTGGGTCCAAAGTTTCCCGATCTAACGACCCGGGTTCGATTCCACCCGGTGGCAAATTTTCTGAAAATTCGTTTCAGACTATTTTCAGGACGTTTGAGGCGTTTAAAAGTGGTTAGAACACCCAAAAATTGAGTTTAAAGATCGAAAATTCAATTTTAGCAGAAATTAAAAAAAAAATCTTTTTTCAAAAATTTCAGAAACTAAAAAACTCACATGATATCTCTGACTACTTGTACTTCTCATCCTATTTCCATTATTTTGGTGGTTACTGTAGTTTCGATTTACAGTACCAGTACCATTCGGATAATATCCACCGTAGTACGGTGCATTTCCATTCAGATACATCTCTTCTGTAGTCTTTGTAGTCTTCTTCGCCACGTCATCAGATGACGTTGTTGGTAGAGTTGGAGATATCTGTAAAAGTTCCAAAAAAATTAGTGATCTCAAAAATTTCAGAAAAAACCGAAAAAATTGAAAAAAAATTTTTTTGAACTTTTTTCCAAATTTTGAGATTACTGTAATTTTCGTTCCAGAACCTCAATTTCTCTGAAAATTTGAGACTACACTAAACAGAACTCGAGCTTTAATTTTCTAGTTGAAACTTTTTCCATAGCTACCGTAGTTTTCGAGTTATGCGTCTTTAAAATTGATAAACGTCTTTGTGACGTCAAACCTCTGTAAAGTTGGCAGTGTCAATTTTAAAGGCGCATAACTAAAAAACTACAGTAGCTATGAAACATTTGTCAACTAGAAAGTTAAAGCTAAAGCTCAAAACTTCATTTTTGTAGTCGACACTTTTTTCCTAGCTAGCGTAGTTTTCGAGTTATGTGCCTTTAAGGATGGCGCGCCCCGCTTCCTTCAGGCGCCCGGCAGATGTGACACGCCAACTTGAAAGGCGCATAACTCCAACACTACGGTAGCTACTGAAAAACTGTCAACTACAATGTTGAAGCTCAAGCTCAAAGCTTCATTTTTGTAGAAAACAATTTTCGCTAGCTAATGTAGTTTAGGAGTTATGCGCCTTTAAAGTTGCTAGACGTCGTTGTGATGAGGTCACACCTTTTTCAAGTTGGCTGTGTCAACTTTAAAAGAGCATAACTCAAAAACTACGGTAGCTATGGAAAAACTGTTAACTACAAAATTGAAGCTCTAGTCTTGTTTGGTACAGCCTAGAAGTTTCAAAAATGTTGGTCGCCTGGAACAACAACTACAGTAATCCAAAAATCGAAGCGATTTTTGGGAATCAACTAACTTATAAATGAGTATACCTAGAAAAAAAAAGAGCCAAAAAAAAGTGTCTCCTATGAGCTTCGGAGCCCTCAAAAAAGAGGAAATAGGAGCTCATTTCCGATGCAAAAAATGCGTCTCCCCCTCTCTTTTAGTAAGTAACCTAAAAGTCCAAAAAGTCAGAGAAAGGTAAACACTCTCTTTCTTCCCTCTTATCCCTCACTGGTCATTTATTTTCCGGGTCCATGAATAGTGGATTAAGGGGGCTCCATTTGTTCTAAAAATTTAGGAAAGATCCAAAATTCCAGACTTTTGGAGGTTCTAAGACTCAAAAATATGCAATAATCTTCTGGGAACCAAGCAAAACTAGGAACTCAGCCATTTTCGACTCGAAAAGTCGATTTTGAGCACTTCTAGACCCGAAAATACGCTCTAAAACCATCTAAAACCCCCTAGAAACTCTAAAAATCGAGTTTTCGTACATTTCAGAAAATTGCACTTTTGGCTCAGTGGGTCCCAAATTTATCAATCAGACGATCCGGGTTCGTATCCCCCCGGTGGCAGATTTTTTGAAAATTTGTTTTAGACTATTTTTAGAGGTTTTTGAGCGTTTAGAAGTAGTTGAAGCAACAAAACACTGAGTTTAAATGTCGAAAATGACTCAGTTAAGTGAAAAACCCCAACAAAAATAGAAACTCAGTCATTTTCGACTCGAATAGTCAATTTAGAGCACTTCTAGACTCAAAACTACGCTTTAAACCCCTCCAAAACCCCCTAGAAACCCTAAAAACCAAGTTTTCGCTCATTTTTCGGAAAATTTCACATTTGGCTCAGTGGGTCTCAAATTTACCAATCTCAAGGTCCGGGTTCGTATCCCCCGGCAAATTTTTTGAAAAATCGTTTTAAACTATTTTTAAGACGTTTCAAGCGTTTAAAAGTGGTTAGAATCCCCAAAAACTGAGTTTAAGAGTCTTTTTAACCTTTTTAGATGGAAATTTTCAAAAAATCGGCCTAGCTGTCCAAAAATTTGGTTTTCTAGGCCATCGTTTCTTTTTTTTTTGCACTTCAAGTGGTCCAGTTAGTCTCAAGGAGTTCTCTTTTAAGTGCCAAAGGAGTTCACACATACTGCACTTCAGAATTTTTGAACGTCTTCTGAATTCAGAATTCAGAAGAAGTGAATCCTAAAAATGTGGGAATTTAGTTACTGATGGCCCAGGAAAATAAAACTTACCAGTCGGTTTGCGCCCCTTCGGGGCTAAACCTCCTGGCCTCCGGTTACAGTACCTTGGTGGATCTCCTCCCTTCTTCTCTTTACTGTGGTGAAACCAAGGAACGTCTCCAGAAGACTTCAAAATCGAAATTTCGAAATTAGAAAAGGTCGGGCCTAAACTAATAAAAATGTCTGATTCGCCTGTCCAGGTTTCAGCTCAATCGGTTAACTTTGAGTTGGTGCACAGCCACGCGACATAGCGCTGGACCACTCATAGTAACCAAAAAAAGATGATGGCCTTGAAAACCAAAAAATTTCGAAAAACTAGGCCTCCAATTGATTTTAGACCAAGTGACCTAGCTTTCCAGATCTTTGGTTTTTCTAGGCCACCTAATAGTAAGGGGGAAAGCTTAGAAAACCACATCTAGGCCATTAGGCTAAAAATCCGCCTGTGGCCTAGAAAACCAAAATTTTGGGTTTCTAGGCCAGCAATTGATTCTTGGCAAAGTTCTTGGCAAAGTGGCCTAGGTTTTCAAATATTTCGTTTTCTAGGCCATCAACGGTTACTTTCGCGCTTCAAGCCACTTTAGTGTATAAGAAGAGACGGTGGCCTAGAGAAACCAAAACTAGGCGACCAGGTCGAGAAACGGCTGATGGCCTAGTTCCAAACATCATGAAAATGGTCTAAAACGAATTTTCAAAAAATGTGCCACCGGGTGGAATCGAACCCGGGTCGTAAGATTGGTAAATTTGGGACCCACTGAGCCAAATGTGCAATATTCGGAAAATCAGCGGAAACTTGATTTTTAGGGTGTCTAGGGGGTTTTAGATGGGTTTAGAGTGTATTTTGGGGTTTAGAAATGCTATAAACCAACTTTTCAGCCAAAAATGACTATTTTAATGGGTTTAGAGCGTGTTTTTTTGGTCTGGGAACCTTTAAAAAGTCTAAAAATGTTATTTTGCTTAAAAGTGCTCAAATTTTACTGAAAAAAAAACTGCAAAAACTGCAAAAAATGCGAAAAAATCTCAGTCGAAAAAGGAGGGGCTTAACTATAAAAAGAATAGAAAAAAGGGGAGAAAAAGGCACCCCATCAGAAGGGAATACACTATTTTTTATGTGAAAAAAGGGGAGGAGGGGGACCCTCCTCACTACAATTATCTGTGTCTTTTTTATACGTATATATAGAAAAAAAACATGGAAAAACATTTTTTTTTGTCTTTGTCTCTCTAGAGAAAGAGAGGAAAATTGGCCTCGTTCCGTCTTAGAATCTCTGCAAGAAGAGGGAAAAAACAGAAGGAAAAAAATGGTTATAAATTTGGCACTTGGGACCCATTGAAAATCCGAAATCTGCGTTTTTTTGGGAACTTTTTTTTTCAGAATTTGTTTTTGCAAAATTTTGAATCCACTTTTTTGAGAACGTGGTCTGGACCACTTCAAAATAAGTGCTACTATTGTTTCTAGCTTGTTTGGAGCTTCAAAATAAGCCCAAACACGACTAGTCTAGCTCAAGTTTGAATTTTGACCTACCAACCGCGACGCGACAGCAGCGCGTTGGTCGAAAATCAAAATTGAGCTAGTATAGTCGTGTTTAGGCTCAAATTAAAGCTGAAAACGCTAGGAATTCAGAAAACTTAGTTTTAGCTGGAAAAGTTGAAAATTAAAAAAGTTACAGTAATTTCAAAATTTCGAAAAACGATTTTTTTGAAAAATCTATTTTTTCCTTACTTTTTTTTGGAATTTTTTAATCGAAACTTAACATTTTGAATTTCTTATGTTTTGCGCTCCAAAATGAGCCTAAACACGACTAGTCTAGCTGAAATTTGGATTTCGACCGCGACGCGACCGCAACGCGCTGATCAAAAATCAAAATTGAGGGAAAAGAGTCGTGTTTGGGCTCATTTTGAAGCTGTTAGCTTGCCAAATCCAAAATTGAGGTCTTCAGAAACAAACAATAAAAATCAACAAGGCTACGATAGTTTTCAAATTTGCGACATATTCGAAATTTTGGAACTACCGTAACTTTTTTCATTTCTCACGGATTTTGGAAATTCTCTTAGATTTATTCTTGAAAAATTAGAGGCGTCAAAACGAGCCTAAACACGACTAGTTTCGCTCAATTTTGATTTTTGACCGGCGCGTTGCGGTCGCGTCGCGGTTGGTGTATCAACATTCTAAATTGAGCTATCCTAGTCGTGTTTAGGCTCATTTTGAAGCTCTCAACGTCACAAATTCAAATTTTTACAGATTTTTCAAGTTGGATTGCTGAAATTTTCAAAAAAAAAAAACTTAAATTACCTTTTTCGCTGTCCCAGGGGCTGGTGGTGGGTCCTTGTTGCTCATTTTCTCAAATTTTCTAGAACAAAAACATTTTTTAATGATGAAAAATGCGAAAAAAACGAGTTAAAAAATCAAATTACTGTGAAAATTACAGATTTTATGAAAATTAAAATTTTCAGATTTTTCAAAAAAAAATTTCAGAAAATTTTTTATTAAAGCTAAAAAATCGAATACAAAATCATAACAACAAAAAATCGATAATAAAGAAAAAATGATTATTTCCGGAATTTGTGAATCCACATGAGCATGGTGACCAGTGTCAGTGTGAACCTGAAAACATTTTTAATGGTCCATTGCTCAGCTTAAAATTTAATTTTTCTAGAATTTTTTTGTCGATTTGTGATCAGCAAGAGACAAGCTTTCAAATGAGCCCAAACACGACTAGTCTAGCTTAAATTTGAATTTTGACCCACTAACTGCGACGCGACCGCAACGCGCAGGTCAAAAATCAAAATTAAGGGAAACTAGTCGTGTTTGGGCTCAATTTGAAGCTTATACTTTTTTGAGCACCAATTTTTAAAAATTACAAAAATCCGTCCAAAATGAAAAGAGTTACGGTAGTTTCAAAATTTCGGATCAGCCTAAAAACTTGAAACTACTGTAACCTCGCCAATTTTTCAGTTTTTCTTTATGAATATCAAATTTTCGGGTTTGCCATAACTAGAGCTTCAAAATGAGCCCCCATACGACTAGGCTACGCGCACTTTGAGTTTTGAGGTTAGAGACGCAGTGTGTCTCGCTTCTCTGGCGCTCTAGCCACAAAAGTGCGCGGAGCCTAGTCGTGTGGGGGCTTATTTTGAAGCTTTTTTCTTGCTCTACATGAATCCGTTGGATAATTTTGAAATTTTTGTATTTTAAGCTGAGCAATGAGCCCTACCACGTCGTCAAATAGTTCATGTGCTCGTTGCGGACGTTGATATTGGTCTGACCGCCGATAGGACCACCCGGGACCGTAGTTTCTGGAAAAATTCAGAATTTTGGAACTCTGGGTAGGCGGGAACTCCAAAAATTCGAAAAAAAATTTCAAAAATTCCCAAAAGTCGTCAATCTAGACCAAAATTCTGGAAATTTTCTATTTTTCCGCCTCATTTCTTTTCAATTTTCCATCTAAACCTACCATATGCCGCATCCAACCACACCGGCTCCGTTCCATGCCATTTTGCCATCTGCTCCAGATCCCTATAGTACCAGACGCCTTGTTCTGGAACATTCTGACCCACGAACTGCGGACGTTGCTCAGTTTTTCGAACAATCGCTTCGAGGATTACTGTACCCTGTGGATTGGTTTTTGCGTGCGATTCCGGATCGAAATAAAACGTCGGAAGCCAACCTCGATTGATTAGGATCACTTTTCTGGAAAAATTGGCGATTGCTCAGCTTAAAAATCAACATTTTCAAAAAAATCATAGCGGATTCATAATCAGCAAGTGATGAGCTTCAAAATGAGCCCAAAAACGACTAGTTTAGCTATACTTTGAATTTTGACCCCTGCGTTGCGGTCGCGTCGCGGTCGAAATTTAAATTTCAGCTAGACTAGTCGTGTTTAGGCTCATTTTGAAGCGCAAAACATAGGAAATTCAAAATGTTAAGTTTCGATTTGAAAATTCCAAAAAAAAGGTACAGAAAAATCGATTTTTTCAAAAAACATTTTTTTTCGAAATTTTGAAATTACTGTAACTTTTTTTATTTTCAAATTTTTTAGCTAAAACTAAGTTTTCAGAATTTCCGGCGTTCTCAGCTTTGAAACGAGCCCAAACACGACTATACTAGACACGACTATACTAGCTCAATTTTGGTTTTTGACCAGCGCGTTGCGGTCGCGTCGCGGTTGGTAGGTCAAAATTCAAAGTTGAGATAGACTAGTCGTGTTTGGGCTCATTTCAAAGCTCTTCTCATCACAAATTCAACTACAGTAATCCGCACCCTGTATTTTTGAGCCTAAACGGTGTAATCAGGTGTCCTCCATGACTGCTCATCTCGTTTTCCGACAGCATTGAGCCAACCGATGCGCTCGTCTTTTTCGCCGGATCAAATCTGCCACGTGGCGAGATAACGAACTCTTTTTGATGGAGGAATTCACCGGTGACACGTACTCTACAGTACTCCAGCGGTTCCAGGGAGGAGCTGAAAATTGAAAATTTGGGAGAATTTTTTTTTGAAAATCTTGATTTTTCGGGATTTTGAAACCCAAATTTTTAAATTCAGCTTGTTTAGAGCTTCAAAATAAGCTCAAAAACGACTAGGCTAGCTCAATTTTGAATTTTGACCCGCGCGTTGCGGTCGCGTCGCGGTCGAAATCCAAATTTCATCTAGACTAGTCGTGTTTAGGCTCATTTTGAAGAGCAAAACATAGAAAACTCAAAATTTCAAGTTTCGTTTCAAAAATTCCAAAAAAAAGCACAGAAAAAATCGATTTTTTCAAAAAATTTTTTTCGAAATTTTGAAATTGCTGTAACTTTTTTAATTTTTAACTTTTCCAGCTAAAACTAAGTTTTCTGAGTTTCTAGCGTTTTCAGCTTCAAAATGAGATCAAACACGACTAGTTTCAATTAATTTCGAATTTTGACCAGTGCGTTGCGGTCGCGTCACGGTTGGTGGGTCAAAATTCAAAATCGAGCTAGACTAGTCGTGTTTGGGCTCATTTTGAAGCTAAAAACACGCTTATTTTGAATGTGTTAAATTTAGAACAAAATATCTGAAAATAAAAAAGTTATGACAAAAATTTAAAATTTTCAAAAAAAAAATTGTTTTTGAAGGAGAATACCCAATTTTTGGGGGTTCTAACCACCTTTTAACGCTCTAAAACCCCAAAAAATGGTCGAAAATAATTTTTTAAGAAATTTGCCAGCGGAGGGAATCGAACGCGGGTCGTCAGATTGGTAAATTCGGGACCCACTGAGCCAAATGTGCAATTTTCGGAAAATCGCTCAAAAACACTGGAAAAACTCAATTGAGCCCAAACACGACTATTTTCGCTCAATTTCGAAATTTGACTAGTGCGTTGCGGTCGCGTCGCGGTCGGTGGGTCAAAATTCAAAACTAACCTAGACTAGTCGTGTTTGGGCTCATTTTGAAGCTCATCACTTGCTGATTATGATTCTGATGATAATTTTCGAAAAATATTCTTTTAAAGCTGAGCAATCGCTCAAAAATATTTCCAAAAATTCAATTTTTACCAAAACAAGTCATGTTTATACTCATTTTGAAGCCCTAAACGCCAGAAATTCATAATTTTAAGTTGAAAATTGATAAAAATCACCTGCTCAAGTCATCAGGCAATTCAATTGCCTCCTGACTGAGTCTCGATTTCAAATGCTCAATTAGTTCCAATTTCCAAATCAATCGATAAATTTGCCAAACTCCCAATGAAAATGCGAATGCTGGCAGGCCTAGCATTAGGATGGATCCCGTACTCCATTCGATTTTTTTCGATTTCTTGTTTTTGGAATTTTCCGAGAAATTTGGCGATTTTTGGGGCGTGTCGAGGTCCAGAATTTGAGAATTTCGAGTTGAGAATTGAGTGGAGGAGGAGGTCTGAAAATTAATTTTTCGAAAGTTTTGAGTTTTTTGGAAAATTCGAAAAAAAAAAAATTTTTTGGAATTTTTTCCAAAATTCGAAAACCGGGAAAATGGATTTTTTGTAATTTTTCAGGAACTTTAAAGCGTTTTAACCACATTTTCTGGATTTCTCATGTTTTTAGCTTCGAAATGAGCTCAAACACGACTAGTCTAGCCTAACTTTAAACTTTGACCCACCAACCGCGACGCGACCGCAACGCGCTGGTCAAAAACCGAAATTGAGCTAGTATAGTCGTGTTTGGGCTCGTTTCAAAGCTGAGAACGCCGGAAATTCTGAAAACTTAGTTTTAGCTGGAAAATTTGAAAATAAAAAAAGTTACAGTAATTTCAAAATTTCGAAAAAACATTTTTTTTTTGAAAAAATCGATTTTTCTGTACTTTTTTCTGGAATTTTCGAATCGAAACTTCAAATTTTGAATTTCCTATGTTTTGCGCTTCGAAATGAGCCTAAGCACGACTAGTCTAGCTGAAATTTGGTTTTCGACCGCGACGCGACCGCAACGCACTGGCTAAATTTCAAAATTGAGCTAGACTAGTCGTGTTTAGGCTCTTTTTGAAGCTAATACAATTTCAAACACAACCCAGAGAAAATTGACCAAATTCGTCGAAAATGAAAACAGTTACGGTAGATCCAAAGTATCGAATATGTCACAAAATTTGAAACTACCGTAACCTTGTTGATTTTCAACAAATTTTTCTGAAATTTGAAATTTCGGTTTTAGAATTATTTCAGCTTCAAAATGAGCCCCGATACGGCTAGCTTTGGTCAATTTTGAATTTTGACCCGCGCGTTGCGGTCGCGTCGCGGTCGGTGGATCAAAATTCAAAATTGAGAGAAACTAGTCGTGATTGGGCTCATTTTGAAGCTAAAATTGCAATGAATTCAAAAATATAAAATCTAGATCGATATATCTGAAAATGAAAAAGTTATGACAGAAATAAAAAATTTCAAAAAAATTTTTTTTTCGGAATTTTTTCAAAATTAAAAATTTTCCTTAAAAAACCGAAATTTGATATTTCCAGAACTTGATCCATGTGCTTAGATATAGAGAAATATGAGATTTTCCAAAAAAATTTCTTTTGAAAATTTTTTTTGAAATTTTTGAAAACCCAAAATCTTGAAAATTCTAAAAAAATTCCAATTTCATGAGTTTTTATTCCGAAGAAAAATTTTTTTTTTAAATTAAAAAAAAAAATTTTTTTGAAATAATTTTTTGAACAATTTCTAAAAGGCGAACAAATACAGTAACCTTGAAAAATTGATAATTTTGGTGTTGATGTTGAGTGAGGAGTAGTCGTTGTCCTCCTCCTCCTCCTCTTCTCAATGCCATTTGAATCGCCCATCGAAACGCCATCTGTCTTCTTTGGGACCACCTGTCCCCTCGTTGTCCTTTCTTTCTATATATATATAATTACATATATATAATAATTATCGTCTTTTAATTTTGGATTATTCAATTTATAATTAATTTGTTTTTCAAAATTATAAAATCCAATTAAAACTCTAATTTTTCGAATCTCCCAATTCCAAACAAAAAGGTTTTTTTTCAGATTTTTGCTCTCAAGTTAAGTACTTTACGCTCGGAACTACAACTTTTGAACATTTTGAGGTTTTTGAAATTTGCTTTAACGTTTTCCGAAATTCAACAAATTTCTTTTAAAAACAACGATTTTAACAATATAGAAAGAGCGATAACGATAACAATTTGGGACGGATCAATGGATGGAGAGGGAGGCTTCCGTTCGGTCGGGAAATTTAGCCGACCGACCAACCCCGCCGACCGTTGTCGTGCATTTGTGCGTCAACGTGTTTGCATACGCTGCATTGTATTTTACGACAAACTACTCACTAAAAGCCTCGTTTGTCGTAAAATAAAGTGCTTCGTACGCAAAAATTCGTGTTTTTATGCGCAAAGGCACGAAATCGGTCAGCTCGGTCGGCTGGGTCGGTGGTCGGTCGGCGATTCTCGACCGACCGAAATGGAAGCCTTATTTTAGATAGAAAGTTCAGAGAGACAAAAAAAAGTGAAAAAAATAGTAATAGGGAAAAAATCAATGGAAATCATGATTTTTTTGGCTCAGAGTGTAGTCTTTTGTAGTTGCAAAAATTAATACTTTCAGCTCAAAAATTGCATTTCTTTTTTGAAGATTTTAGACTGAAAAAACGAGAAATTCCGGGCTGAAAATTCATAAATTTCAAACTAAATTCCAAATTTTCCGCCAAAAATTGTTGATTTTCAAGTGAAAAGTCGGTTTTTCAATCAAAAATTCCAAATTTTCAGCTCAAAATGCAGAATTTCGTGCTGTAATTTTCGATTTTTCAGCATTTTTTGCGGAAATTCAGGCAAAAAACGACTTTTTGAAGGGTTTTTAGATTTTTAAGGGACTTTTAACAACAGAAAAATTAGAAAAATTGAATGGACAACAACAACAATGAAGAAGAAGAAGAAGATGGATGAAAAACAATGAAAAAAGGTAAAAACAGAAAGAGAAGAAAAAAAAACCACGTAGCAAAAATTGTCTTCTGAATTCTAACGACGTCCACCTCGACCGCCTCGACCGCCACCTCTTCCGCCTCCAGCCTTCTTCGCGCCTCCGCCACGTCCTCTTCCACGTCCCTTGGTCTTTTCCTTGGCCTTCGCGGCACGAAGATCCTTCTTCATACGGCTGAAAATTAGAACTTCAGACATTTTTCAGACTTTTCGGCCCATTTCAGCCGAATTTTCAGCTTTTCTAGTTCATTTTCAATGAATTTTCAGTCAATTTTCAGTCAATTCACACTTCTAGCGTCAAATATACGATTTCAAACCGTTTTTTGACGAATGTCGGTTCATTTTCAGCCAATTTTCAGTCAGTTCGAGCCACATTGAACGGCTAGTCTAGCTCATTTCCAGCAAAAATTCTAGCTTTTCCAGCTTTTCGGCCTTTTTCAGCCAGAATTTCAGTTGTTTTCCTCTGATTTTTGACGATTTTTGGCTCATTTTCAGCCAATTTTTCAGACAGTTTGAGCCACTATGAACGGCTATTCTAGCTCATTTCCAGCAAAAATTCTAGCTTTTAACCCTTTTCAGCCAAATTTTCAGCGTCTCATCTGATTTTTTCGCTTTTTTCTCTGTTCATTTCTAATGAATTTTCAGCTAATTTTCAGCCAATTCACACTTCTAGCGTCAAATAAACGATTTGAAACCATTTTTGACGATTTTAAGCTCAATTTCAGCGCATTTCCAGCCAATTTTTAGCGATGTTTCGCGTGGAATTTCATCAATTTTGAGGTGGATTTTTAGCTAATTTTTCTTAACTTTTCAGTCATTGCAAAAGACAATTCTAGATCATTTTTAACCAATTTTCAATTTTTAGCGATAATTGGTGCCAATTTTCAGCGTCAAATAGACAATTTCAGACAGTTTTAGTTCATTTTCAGCCAATTTTCAGGCTAATTTCGACTAATTTCGGGGACTTATTTCAGTCGATTCTAGACCATTTTCAGCTTCTATAATCTGATTTTTGACGAAATTTGGTCCATTTTCAGCCAATTTTTCGCTAATTCTCAGTCAATCAACACTTCTAGCATCAAGTAGATGATTTCAAGCCAATTCTGATGAATGTAACCTCATTTTCAGCCTATTTTCAGCGATTTTCAGCCAATTCATGCTGCTAGCGTCAAATAAACGATTTCAAGCCATTTTTGATGATTTTTGGCTCGTTTTCAGCCAAATTTCCAGCCAATTCTCACTCACCTATCCACCAATTTGTACTGTCCACCTGGCCGTGCCGTCTTTCCCTTCTTTCCTTTGGTCATTCTCACCAATTCCACCTTTTTCTTCTCCTTCCTTGTGGCATTCGCATAGACCTTCTTCATTTCTCGAACCTTCTCCGAGTGCTCCATTTGATCGTTCTCCAGAATTCCCTCGGCCTTCTTCTTCGCCGATTCCAGTTTTCGTTGCATTCTGAAAGGAATTTATGAGTTTTTAGTGATTTTCGGTCATTTCTGAGCATATTTGGAGTCGTTTCAAGCCTATTTTTCGTCATTTTAATAATTGGCTATTTTAAACGTATTGGGGGGTCATTTTAAGGCTAAATCATGCCATTTTACGCCTAATTCGGTAATTTTTAGCTCAATTTAAGTCGTCTTAAGCCAAATGACATCAATTTCTAGCCTTTTATTGGTCATTTTAAGCCTATTTTTGGGGGATTTATTAGCGTATTTGGGTCTATTTTGTGTCATTTTGGCCTAATTCTATCATTCCGCGCCTATATTAGGTCATTTTGGGCATTTTTGGGGTGATTTGAAACCTTTTTGGTCATTTTGAGCCAATTTTAGGTCATTTTATAGCAAATTTGGAATCATTTTTAGTCCATTTTGGGTCATTTTTACTATAATTTAGGTCATTTTAAGCCTATTTTTGTCATTTTGAGCCGATTTTTGGTCATTTTCAGCATATTTGGGGTTATTTTATAGCTTAGTTTAGGCCATTTTAAGCGTATCTGCGCTCATTTTCAGCCGAAAATAAGCGATTTTCAGTCAATTTCCTAGCTTTTGGATGTTTTTCTGATCTTTTTCAGCTCCAAACTTTGGAGTCCAAAAATTAGCAATTTCAACTCAATAACTTCTAAAAATACCTAGCTTTGCTCATTTTCGGGTCTACGTGTCGTTTTCAGCAGAAAATAAGCGATTTTCAGTCAATTTTCTAGCCTCTGAAGGGGTTTTATGATCTTTTTGAGCTTTTAAAATGTGCAATTTCAGCTCAAATGCTTGCTTGGCTTGAGCGTCTTGTTGGTTTTTTTAACTCTAAAGCTGAGCAATTTCAGCTAAACAAACACAAAATATGTCTTTTCTCATTTCAGAGCGAATTTGACGTTTTCAACCTGGAAATCTGCGATTTACTGTCAATTTTCCTAAAATATGTCATAAGGGCTATTTCAGATCACTTTTTGATCGATTTTTGCTCATTTTCAGCTTGAAATGTGCGATATTCAGCCAATTTTCCGGCTTTTTAGCTGTATAAATGATTAATTTCTGCTCACAAAAAAAATCATATTTTCTTAACTTTTCGCTCAATTTTCAGCTCAAAATAGGCGATTTTCAGCCAATTTTCCCACAAAAAAGTGTCAAAAAACATCGATTTCAGCTCAAATTCTGACGATTTCTGCTCATTTTCGGCTAGAAAGATGCGATTTTCAGCCAATTTTCTAGCTTTCAAGGGGTTTTCTGGCTTCAAGGGTATTTCAGCTCATTTTTAGAGTGATTCGCTCATTTTTCAGCTAGAAATACACGATTTTCAGCCAATTCCCCACCCATCACTCACTTCTTTTGCTTCCTAGCCCTCGCCTCAGCCACCTTCTTCGACGGTCTCGCATTGAATTCGCGCATTCTCTCGCGATACAACGCCACCTGCTCCTTGGTAACGGGTGTCTGTTTGAAGTAGTGCTTCTTCTCGTCCTCCACAAACCAATCCGGCAGATCCTCATCGTTGTTCGCATACCGATTCCACGCATTCTCCTCGAGCTCTCTGGCGGACTTCGATGAATAAATCATTTGTTCTCCGATGGCCAGCTGTTCGGGGGTTAGTCTTCGCTTCTTTTCCACTGGTTTCATGTCTTCTCCAATGATCTTCTTATCAGCTTTCCTCTTCGTGGCTCTTGTTCCTTCGTCCTCGTATCTCTCCTCCTCGTCGTCGTCCAAATCGATTTGAGCGTCGAAACGACTCAGTTTCTCTTTGGCCGCGTCGTCCATCTCGGCGTCGGATTCAGAATCCGAGGCCATCTCGACGTCTTCTCCTGGAAAAATCAGAATGTTTTGATTCGTAAAATTCCAAATTTGTGATTTTTTTTTGCATTTTAAGCCTCTTTTCGGTCATTTTAAGCCTAATCTAGGTCAGTTCACGCTTAAATTAGGTCATTTTGGGACTTTTTTTTTTCGTCACTTTCAGTATATTAGGGATCATTTTAAGACTATTTGGGGTCATTTTTAGCCTATTTTTGGTCATATTTAGGCTATTTTTAATCATTTTCAGCCTAGTTTTGGTCAATTGAAACATGTTTGGCCCATTTTAAAGGTGGGGGGACATGAAAAAAAAATAATGTTCTCGAAATTCCGTTCAAAGATGCCCCTCGAGGAGTTGAACTTGTGAGGGCGATGATTGAGGGTGCGGCGCCGCTACCGACTGAGCCACGCGGGCAAAAAGAAAGCGCTAGAAGTGCAGAATATCTGATTTACGAGAATTTTTGATTCCAAAATTCAAAAAACGCGAAATTTTCGAAATTCTAGAGCAAAACTGAGCTATTTACAGCTATTTTCAGGTTGGAAAATGCGATTTTCAGCACTAACTGCTCTAGAAAACCGACTTTCAGAGTTTCGGACCCAAAAATGAGCAATTTACAGCCAATTTTAGTTTGGAAAATGCGATGTATAGAGCTCTAAATGCTCCAAAACGCCGTAAAGATGATGGATCTTCAGTCGGAAATCTCAAATTTTCGCTTAAAATAAGATCATTCCCTAGCTCCAAAATTCAGAAAATCGCAAATTCTAATAATCCAGATTATCAACTTTAGACCAAAAATGAGCAATTTCCAGCCAATTTCAGGCGAGAAAATGCGATTTTTAGAGCTCAAAATGCTCAAAAAGACCGTGGAAAGTCGATTTTCAGCCGGAAATATCAAAATCCCTCTACAATGTGATCATTTCTAGCTCGAAAACTCAGAAATTCACGAAAATCAAAATTTCCAGATCTCGGACCAAAAATGAGCAATTTCCAGCCAATTTCATTTCCAGCCAATTTTTTTCAAGCTTTGAAATGCAGTGACAAAGATTTTAGACTATAAAATCCTGAAAACCTCAAATTTTCGGTGCTTCTAGCTCCAAAAAAATATGTTTCTTACTTTAAAAACGCGGCGTTTCACCTCCAACCTCGTCAAATCATTTTTTGGCTGAAAATCGTCTCAATATCTAATTTTTAATTCTAAATCATTCAATTTTGGGCTAAAATCTCAATTTCCGACTTCAAAACACCAAAATCGCATCTATCTCGAAAATCATAGCTTTTCAGTGATGTTTGAGCCGAAATTTGTCAATTTGCGGCTCTAAAATCTCGGATTTTCAGCCAAAATTGCCGATTTCAAGACCAAATCCTCACCATCTTTGGTATTAAAACCATCGTCATCCGCGCCATTCTTGCCCTTCTTCTTTTTCTTGTTTCCATCGTCAAACGAGACCGTATTCTCATACTTCTTCGTCTCCTTCTTCTTCTTGCCAATATGCTTCTCGATCGCATTCATCTCGTCATCGTCGTCCTCATCCGAAATCAGTCCGGCGATTTCCTCTTTCTCGAACCACGATTCCGTCCGAACGTTCTTCTTCTCCTTCTTCGAAAGTCCCGAGTTCACCGTATGGATCAGTTCATTCTCATCCTCATCTGAATCCTCGCCTCCTACTTCTTGCTCATGCGTCTCCCATTCGCCGTCACCGAGTCCTTCCTCGTCGTCCGAATCTGAAAATGTACATGAAATTGGAATTTTGGCTAGGTTTTCAGCAGGAATTTCAGGAATTTTCAAACTCGATTTTCTTCGCTACAAGATGAAAATGGCTCCATTTTCAGCTAAAAACCCTTATTATCTCATTTTCTAGCTATTTTCAGCTCAAGATCAGCTATTTTCTAGCTTTTTGAACTTAAAAGAGCCATTTTCAAGGTCTTTCCTGATTTAAATTAGGCCTTTAACAGGCTTTTCTTAGGCCTAAATTAGGCCATTTTCTAGCTATGCTCGCTTGGAAATTGGTCATTTTTTCGCTAGTTTTTCAGTTGAAAATGATCCAATTTCGAAGTTTTTGGCACAGATTAGGTCAAAATGAGCCATTTTCTAGCTTTTCCAGGCCTAAATTTGATGAATTATAAGGTTTTTTTAGTTGAAAATGGGCAATTTTCTATCTATTTTCAGCTCAAAATGAGCCAATTTCAACGTTTTTGGCATAGATTAGGTCATTTCGTAGGTTTTTTTTTCCGGTCAAAATGAGCCATTTATTGCTATTTTTTTGGTTTAAATTCGATCAATCATAAGCTTTTTCTGGTGAAAATCAAGCTATTTTCTAGCTTTTTTCAGTGACAATTAGAGCCTATTTCAGCCAAAAAACCCATATTATCTCGATTTCGATTTCTAGCTCAAAACCAGCTGTTTTCTGGCTATTTTAAGTTCAAAATGAGCCATTTTTAAGGTTTTTCGGTTTGAAAAGCCGAAAATCGCAATTTTCGGCTCAGAAAACGGCTGAAAATAGCGAAATTTCCAGGTAAAGCCACTCCCTCCCTCCCCAGCCCCTCCATCCCGCCCCCTTACCTTCCACATTCTCAAAATCGGGCGCCTGCGTCTCCTTGGTAATCTCCGCCAACTCCTTGGCCTTGCGAATCTTCTTCAACTGGAACACCTCCTGATCCTCAGCCTGTGGTCCCTCGTCTCCATCAATAATCATTTTAAGCTCTCTTCTCTTCAAAACCCTGGCTTTTGCCTTCAACATCTTCTTCTTTTTCTTCTTCAGAGCCGCTTTTTCGTCCTCCGATGCTTTGGCGATGAGCTCATCGATCTCAGCCATAGCCCGATCCTCAATTTGCTCCTCCGTCAGATCCTCCTCAATCTCTACATCCTGCGCTTCTCCTTCCACGGCTTTCCGTTCGGCTTCCAGAGTTTCCAGCATGGATTTTCGCCAGCGAAGGAGCACTCTGAGCTCTCGAGGACCCAGAACTTTGACGTCTTTCATGTATTCCACAACTTCTTCTGTCGTTTTTTCGTGGTTTTTCCATTTTGGATCGTCTAGAAGGATCACATTTGCCTCTCCCAGAATGTCTAGATATCCTGAAGATTTGATGAAATCCGAGGCATTGACCTTTGAGTGAATTGCCAGAGAATTGGTATCGTATCCCTCTGCCTTTGCCTTCTTCTGCTTCCCAATCAACATATTCTGGGGGTTCGGCTTCGTTCCCTCGGATCCATCTGGAAGAAATTCAAATTTGGGGTTATTTTAAGCCAATTTTCAGCATATTTTTGGTCATTTTAAGCCCCTCGGTTCATTTCGAGACGGCCCACGGTCCAAGGGTACATCGAGGGTACATCGAGGTCTTAGGGTACATTGGTTCTGAGGGTACATGGGATCTTAGACTGTAAGGCGTTTTAGCCTAAGCCTATAATTTTGAGCAGAAAGCAAAATGGTATGTATAAAATATTGATTGACTTTTTTTGTCCACCTACATGCACCGAACAATCCAATGTACCCTAAGAACTCGATGTACCCTTTTTCGATGTACCCTTGGATACTGGGCCTTTCGAGACTATCCTAGACTATTTTAGGTCATTTTAAGCATAATATTTGGAATCTTTTAAGCATAATTGAGATCATTTTACGCCTCGTTTATGATAATTTTTAACATATTAGGGGTCATTTGAAGGCTATTTTTGGTCATTTTAAGCTTAATTTCAGTTATTTCAAGACTATTTATGGTCATTTTACGCCTCTTTTTGGTCATATTTAGACTATTTGGAGTCATTTTCGGCCTAATTTTTGTTATTTTAAGCCTAATTTAGGTAATTATAAGACTATTTTTGGTCATTTAAAGAATATTAGGGATCATTTTTAGCATATTTCTGGTCATTTTCAGCATATTTTCAGGCATTTAAAGCATATTTTGGGTTATTTTTAGCCTGTTTTCGATCATAGTAAGACTATATCTGATCATTTTAAGCATATTTCAGTTCATTTTACGCTTAGTTGTGGTCGTTTTGAGCCTTTTTTGGGTCAATTTTCAGTATATTTGGAGTCACTTTAAAGGTGGGGGGGGGGACAGGAGATTTTACGGGGGATTTTTGTAGCTAGGGTATGCATTCTACCGTGACGGTGTACAACGCTTAATGTCACTCTGCGTACAGCTGTCGTCCTCGCCTTTATGTATGCAATCGGGCAGCGGCTTTCTCTTTGCACGCGTAGCTCAGTCGGTAGCGGCGCCGCACCTTCAACACTCGCCTCGACAAGTTCAACTCCTCGAGGAGCATATTTAAACGGAATTTCGACAAAATAATTTTCCTCATGTCCCCCCACCTTTAAGAATATTTTCGGTCATTTTAAGCGTTACTTGGGTCATTTTGAGCCTAAATCTACCGTTTTCGAGTTTTTAAAGCACTAAATTTGAATTTGGCGCGTTGACAGCTTCAAAATGAGTATAAACAAGGCCAGATTCCATGAAAGCATCTTGGATTACTGTAGTCGGCTCATTTTAAGCTCTAAAAACGCGGGAAAACGCGGAAAAATTTCTGATCATTTTAAGCATATTTGGAGTCAATGTTAGGCTCTTTTAGGTCATTTTTGGCCATTCCAAGCACATTTGGGCTCATTTTAAGCCTAATTTTTTTTCGTTTCAAGCCTCTTTTTGGTCAATTTTCAGTATATTTGGAGTCACTTTAAGACTATTTTCGGTCATTTTAAGCGTTACTCGGGTCATTTTGAACCTAAATCTGCCGTTTTCGAGTTTTTAAAAGCACTAAATTTGAATTTGGCGCGTTGAGAGCGAGCTTCAAAATGAGTATAAACAAGACCAGATTCCATAAAAAGCATCTTGGATTACTGTAGAAGCTCTAAAACGCGGGAAATTCAAAGTATCAGAAAAAATCACTGAAATATGATACGAATTTCTCAATTTTGCCCGATTCTAGCCGTTTTAAGGCTCATTTTAAGCTCTAAAAACGCGGGAAATTCAAATTTTAGAGTCTCGAAAATTACCTGGATTGGCGAACACCTTCTTCGGATCGAGATACTCGGCGCCAACCTTCTCGGGCTTCTGATACACCTCACAGACGACGAAGATCTCGGCGGATTCGAGACGAGACGCAGCTGGTTTCCAGACGTGGACCCGTTTGAAGAGTTTCTCGAAAACGCGAATCAGACACGAATAATCGTTGGAACGGAACACTTTCGTCACAAAAGTACCGCCTTTTCGGAGGATTTGAGTGGCGAGTTTGAGGGCGGACAGCGTGAGACAGTTCTGTTGGAAGGCGTCGTGGACCCAGTTGAGACCCACGTTTGGAGCACCGTCGTGGAGCACACAGTCCGCCTGGAAATAGGTTTGGGTCAATATTTAGGTCGAAATGAGTCATTTTAACGGTTTTCTGGAAGAAATTAGGTTATTTTTGAAGGATTTTCTGGGCTAAATTTGGCCGATTTTGAGCCATTTTAGAGCAATTTTCAGTTCTAAATGAGCTATTTTACAGATTTTTCGAGCTTAAAATTAGCCATTTTAAGGTTTTTATGGTTCAAATTAAGCCATTTTCAAGGTTTTTGAGCTGTTTTCTAGCGTTTTGAAGCTTCAAATGAGCCATTTAAATCTTTTTCAGTTAAAAATGAGCAATTGTCAAGGGTTTCCGTTTAAAATTAGGTCATTTTTGAAGGAATTTCTGGTCAAAATCAAGTCATTTTTAAGCTATTTTCTAGCTATTTTCAGTTCAAAATAGCTATTTTCTAGCTTTTCAGAGCTGAAAATAAGCTTTTTCACGGTTTTTCTAGCCAAAATTAGGTCATTTTGAGCATTTTTTTTGTCAAATCTAGGTAGTTTTAAACTATTTTGAAGCTCATTTTCAGCCAAAATGATCCATTTTTTAGCGTTTTTCAACGAAAAAAAAAGCACTTTTAGTCAATTTTCATCGAATTTTCAGTCGTTTTCCGGCAAAATTTGGGATAATTTGAGCCATTTTAGTTGATTTTGGGACTATTTCTGCTTGGATCAACAGCTGGCGATTTGAGCCGATTTTAGGTCGTTTTCTAGCCATTTCCAATTCAAAATGAGTCATTTTCAAGGGGTTTTCGACAAAATTTATGTAAATTGTTAGCTATTTTCCGTTCAAAATCATTTTCAGAACACACAAACTCACACTCCACGTCTTCAACTCCTTCTTGATGGCGGCACGCGTCTCATTGGTGGTGATGTCTCCTTGAAGAGCGATACAGTTCTTGATGGGCTTGATTGGCGCCAAATCCACTCCTGGAAGATAGGAAATTAGGATTTTTAGAGTCTGGGGATCAAAAATAGCCAGCTTTGAGCGATTTTGAGGTCAAAAACTTTGAAAAATCAATAGTTTCAGGCCTGAAATCGAATTTCTGAGTCATTTTATCGTTCTGAGGCGATCAGTAGCACTTCAGGTCGAAAAAGACCAATCTTAACCGATTTTTAAGATCTAAAACCGAATTTTTTCGTCTCAGAATCATTAAAAATCATTCCAGACCAAAAAAACGATTTTAACCAATTTTTGAGCTGAAAATCGCTTTTTTCGGGTCTGGTCGTCTTGGAATCGTTAAAAATCATTCCAGACCAAAAACGAACCATTCCAGTCGATTTTTGACCATTTTTAGCTGTTTTGAACCGACTTTTCAGGCTTTAAACCGAGAAAATTCGGGTTTTTTTTCACATTTTTTCGACTTTTACGCGATTCTATCGATATAGACTGTTTTAGGATCAATTTCCCCCCGTTCCAGAAAATTTTCAGGTCGAAATTTCCCATTTTTCAGCGGATTCCTCCCAATTTTTTGCATTTTCCGCGTACCAACGATCAAACTGGAGACGGGCATGAACTGCGAGGCGACTTGCATCCATCCTCCGGGAGCTGCGCACAAATCAACGGTGGCCCGTGATTTTTCGAGAAACTCGAAGCGTTTGTTCAATTGGACCAACTTGAATGCGGCACGTGATCGGTATCCTGGAAGAAAATCGATTTTTTAAGGACTTTAAGCCGGAAAATCGACTTACCAGCTTCTTTGGCGAGCTTGTAATACTTATCACGACGCTGTTTTCCGATTTTAACCTTCTTTCCCATGATTTGTTATATTTTTTACCCTGAAATTCGTTTAAATCAGAGGTTTTTGGGTTGAAACAGCTAGAAATAGGCGAAAATGGAGGTTTTTGGGAGAAAAAAAGACGAAAAACGAGGAATAAAGGCGAAAATATGTTTTGTCCGGTGGAGCGCACTTGCTGCTGCAAAAGTTTAGGCCAATTTTCATCGGCATAGTGCCAAGTTGAGGACGACACTGATAAAATTTATTTTCTACTGAAATCCTGATTTCCAGACTACTTTTTCTTGTTCAGAACATTTTCAGCTAATATTAATCCGAGAAGTAATTATTCTCCGTTTCAAAACGAATTATAGTACCTGAAATAGGATCAAACACAAAAGAACAACGAGTACTTTTATAAAAAATCAACAATTTATTGAGGTTTCCATTTGGGGGATTAACAAATATTAATTTATTTCTTTCCCTTCTTTCCTCCCTTCTCGCCAGAGGTGGCAGCGGCGGTGGCGGTGTCGACGACGAGGGTGTCGTGGCATCTTCCACAGTAGTGTCTGTTGGCGTGTTGGGCCATGAAGACTCCTCCTCCGCACGATGGCTGTTGGCACTCCTTGCGAAGACGGGTGATCTTGCCGTTCTCGTCGATCTGGAAGATAAGAAGTTAGGATAGATTATTGGGATATGTATATTGCTGTTATGAGATTTTTCAGCTAGGTAAAAACCTGGTAGTTAACCTAGCTGAATAACCCCCATTATAGGAGGTTCAAATCGACTCAGGAACTCTAATCCTCAGTCACGGAACTCTCAGAGGTCCTGACACCATATCAATAAAATTCTTCATCACCGTCGATAGCCCAGTTCTCTAGAACCTGTTGCACAGGTACTATGCTCCCCTTGTAGTACTTGAGGACAGCGAGCTTGACCTTCTTTGGCTTTCTCTTGTTCTTCTTTGGAGTGGTGTAGACCTTCTTCTTTCTCTTCTTGGCTCCTCCGAGAAGCTCAAGGTTGACGTAGATGGTGGCCTCGGCGTCGAGTCCGCAGTCGCTATCCTCGAGCTGACGTCCTTAACAGGTAAAAATCAAGAATGTGTCTAGCAGGGTCTGTCCTCAAAGTGCCCAACCTAGGTGGGGTGCTTCTCGAGATTCTGCGTGAAACGAAACGAACCGGCGAAGACGAGTCTCTGCTCAGCGGATGGGATACCCTCGGCAGCCTCGATCTTTTGCTTGATGCTCAAGACATCCTCGTTGGCGGCGACCTCGAGGTACAAGGTTCTGTTGAGTGTTTTGACGAAGACCATGGCTGGACTTGTAAACCCTAGTTCTGAAAAAATGCGATTTTTAGGAGGGAAAATCGAGCAAAAAGAGGTATTTTTGTGAGTATTTAGAAGAAAAAAAATCGAAATTTCAGCAAATATACGAAAAAACCCTAAAACCTGAAAAACAGGATTTTAGCAAAAATCTCAACGAATTTCCTAGAAAACCGAGCAAAAATATGCATTTTCCATGTAATTTGTGCTGAATAATCAAAATTTTCACTTCAAAAAACCCAAAAAAGCAGAAAAGATGAGTAAATTCCTCAAAATTTAGGTAAAAATTGCCGAAAATTGATGGAAAAAACGCGAAAAATAGGCCTAAAACCGACGCCTACCGTATAACCTGCACATCTAACTGGTGTGCGGCGGCGCGCGTTTGCGATGTTTTTGCGCGGTTTTTTGAAAAAGAGGTTTTCTTACAGAGAAAAAACGCGTTTTTAAAATAGGATTTCAGTAGTTTCAGGCGTAAAAAGACATGGAAAATGCTGAAATTTGCAAGAAAAAAATTTTTCAGAAGAAAAAAAAAATAAATTTCTCTGTTTTTCCCCTTGTTTTTGTACAAATTGCTAGTGTTTCCTGGGGAAAATCCAATATTCATGTGTTTTTGTGTTGTCTGCATTTCCCCCTTCTTTTTCTTCTCCTTCTTCCGGACCAGCTCTGTTCAAATCGATTCGACGCCGTGCTCTCTTCTCGTGGCTTCTCGAATTTCCAATTAACTCATTTCTCTGCGTCTCTCACTCTATTTATGCTCTCTCGTCTCTGGAAACAAGGAAAAACGGAGACAAATTGCGAAAGGAGCGAGTAAAAACTGTGTTTTTTGCTCTTTTTCTCTAAGAATACGTGCCATAAAAGAAGCACGAAACACAGCTCCTCCGTCCCTTGGGCTCATTTAGTTTATCTTTTTGAGCCAAGGAAGAGGAGAAAGACATATTCTTTCCCAATTTTTATGGCGACACATTTTCCCATTTTCTTCAAGTGACATTTGTTCTTTTTTTTCGAATTTTCAAAATCTTTTTTTCACTGTTGCCGCCCCTGAAAAGTTTTGAAAACGCCGCCCTTTATCATCGACCTCCGCAAGCAAAGTAAGTTGTTGCCCTCGTAGCCTGTGCGGTAACATACCCGTTTTTAAATCGAGAAGTCCTTTCCTTTAAAAGCGCCTTCCGCGCCTTACCCTTTAGCTGCATTCATAGCGCAAGCACAGGTAGAGAGGGGACTGCCGAAAAACGGGCCGTCTGGCGGGCGCGGAGTGCCGAAAAGCGAACAGTCGGCAGTCGAATCGCGCGCCGCCGACGGTCCGTCTGCAACGATTTGCGCCTCGAAGACGGACCGTCTAAAATGATAGCGCTTTCTTGACCTGTTCATCATTAAACAGGTAATAAACAATAAAAATTCTTTATTAAACTAATAGTTTCTGTGGATTGTGTATTGAAAAAATAACTCCAATTTTTCAAAGTTGAATTTTTATGATTAGAATGAGAGAAGACACAAATTCTATAGGGAACAGAACTTTGATTTTCTTTTTGTGTTTTCGCAAAATTCCAACTTTATAAAAATTCAAATTTTAAAATGCGAAGATTTTTTGCTCGTTCCTTTCGTTCTTTTTTCCTTCTTCGTTTCTCGTTTTCCACTTCTCTCGATTCTCAGCATTTCTCTCATTGAACAGTATTTTCCGCTTTTACCGTAAAACCTCCAATAGAACGACACCCGGAACGTCCACTTTGAGCCTATATATCTCACTTCTTTTGAAAGATATCAAAAAATGGTTAACTAGTAAAA